CATCTTCAGCCGTCATATTAAGTACTGATACCAGTCCAATAATTTTTTGTATTTTGAAACTAATGAACATACCGTAACAGCTTCCTTTTGGTTTTACACGAATTAATTCTGAGCACCAACATAACAATCGTTTAATATGAATAATATACGATACAGCACTTAGGACGTTAAAACCGAATTGCTAATCCGTGTATCCAAATATTGCACTGCTGGAAATAATGAAGATTGGAAAACACCAACTACGGAAACACATAAAACACCAAAACAGAACACTATATTCACGATTAGCATTGTAGCACATTGCTTTTGATATTTAAGATGACGCAAAAGTTACCACGATCACTTTGCAACGTCGTGTACTACTTGGGCAAAGCCTTTGGCCTAGAAACTTGGTAACCGCAAGTTCAAAAACAGATCAACCTCATTTCGGGCATCCAGTTCCAAATGGAAGATACCGCCAGCAAGATGTAGCTGCAGGTGTGAAAAAAGGTAGAAGTCAAAGGAGCTGTGTTGGGGCTATATGGTAGTTGTGGCAAAAGATCCCATTCGAGTCTGTACAGAGTTCCGCCGGTGAATGCAGACACATGTGGTCTTGCATTATCTTGATATGGAACATTACCTTTTTGTGCCGTAGCTCAATTTGATGTTTATCCTTTATAGCAACATCAACTTGAAGTAGCATCTCACTGTACACCTTACTGTCGAGGGTTTTACCTTTTTACATATACTTTTTGTGGATAATACCACAGCAGTCCTACCAGATACAAAGCATGATCTTTCTGTTAGTCCAACTGCGCTTTGTGGCACTGCCAATGGGCTCACAGGGCACAGACCAGCTCCTTTTCGGCCTGTGTTGTTGAAGTAAATAGACTTTTCATCACAAGTGACAATACGGTCCAGAATTTTGTTCTTGTATTGATATTCAAGCAGCTAAGTGCAAGCCCAAACAAGTCTTTCCTTATCAGCTTGAGTGGGCTCATGCTGCACCCAGTGATTGTACATGTCTGTCAAGTTTTATGCGATGCATAATGGACATAGCACTGACATCTTAACTCCATAACAACCCCTTGAGTGGTTGCATGCTGATCTTCTTCCACAAGTTCTCGCAGGTGCAGCTCATCAACATCAGTAAGCTGAGCAGAGTGCTCTGTTTCTTAAATGTCATATGATAGTCAGTTTCTTGCTCGCCTTGAAGTCAATTCACAATGGCCTCAGAATATCCTGAGAACATTTGGGGATGCAATATATACTCACAACTGCCGAATTTAGGAACCAGAATATCCACACCCTATCTTAGAGGTTATGTTGCACTCATCAAAAGTGATGGTATGATGTGGATTTTGTGCATCATTTATTTTACACCTGTACATCATTGACAGTCTACGGGTCCAATGACATGCTTACAGTGATGGCTTGTAACTAAAATTAGTGGGGGTGCTGTTCCAAAAAAATTTAACTTTTGTTTTAAATTGTGAAGAAACAAACGTGTATAAAAATAAAATTTTTTAAGGTTATCATAAACGGAGCTTACACCCTTCTTACTTTAACCTCCTGTACAGTTCACTGTATCTATTTATTTAAAAATGAAATGATTCTTGTTTAATTTGTCGAAAGATAAAAATTTTCTCCTTGATCTCTGGATGACAACTAAGGAAATTTTTCTTTATTGAAAGCAATGCAAGCGCATTTAGTCTTTCCAAATTTCTAGTGCTTCTTAGAAAAGTTTTCATTCTTTTCAATGTTGAAAAACAGCATTCTGCTTCTTTCTGATGTAGGCATGGGAACTTTCAAGAGAATTTTTATCAGTTTCATAATTTCACTAAGAACATCATCTAGATTATTTTCGAAAGTAAATTTCAGTAGCTCAATTAATTTGCAATATTTATGGGTATCAGACCTACAATAGAATACTTTTAGTTCAGTTTCAAGTTTTTCTTTGTCAATTATTGGATATGCTTCAGTGGTCAGTACTATTTCTTCTGTAGACTGAGAAAGAAACTAGTCTGTTTTATCGGGCGTTGCGCACCACCGGTGGCCCACACTAGTCTGTCTCATCAGGTGGCACGTACCACTGGTGGTACGCATTCGATTGTGTTATTAGACGCTGAAAATTAAAATAATGAAAAATTAACATTTATTTATTTCATAAAATAATAATAAAAAAAAAAAAAATAATGAATAAACTTTAAAATTTAATAAAAACTTTTTTAATAACAATTATAATTAATAACTATTAGCAAACGTACAACTCGTATACAGGTTTGAAAGGTAATAATCGTGCGCCGCCAGCTAAAACGCGGCAAAAATTCGAGTGCCATCTCATGGCGAAGAATATAAAAATTGGCCCTGGCGTGAACATGTTAAAGCTAGCATTTCACACCACATGCTCAACATTTCCCAGCACACACTTCGGTCAACTGTGGAATATGCCATCTTGTGACTTTAGATGGTACCTGAAACTGATGTGAAAAATGTTTTGTCATAATAAAATTTGAAAAAATTATTATAAAGTTGAGGCTAAATGTGTAATTCATTAATGCAGTGCCCTTGGGCAGTTGAAGCTGAAAGACATTCTCATACCTTTATTAAGTTTCGGCTGACTGGTTTTGCCTGTTTTTGAAATAGAGTTTTTTAATTCTGGACATCCTGTATTTGGTAATTCACCTTCTGTCCAACAACAGAATATTATCTTAAATAATTTTTAAAATAACTAAAGGGAAAAATAATAGTAATACCAATAATAAAAACTATTTTAAGAAGAAACACAACCTTTTCATGATCTTGTGTGTAAAACATCAAGTAAAAATTATTGCATATTCAAATGCATAATAGAATCAATCTGCCTTTACAGCTCAGTTACAGTCCTTCAACCAATATCAAAGACTGCCTAAGTTTATATTCGTGACATACTATAATTATCACGGAAGTACCATTTGTTTGAAGTTTATTAGTAAATTAGACTATTTACTTTTTCACAACTTATTTTTTAAGAATAAAAAAAGTGGTCTCAAAGGAGGAAATTTCCAATGGAATTTCACAAAATTTTCAAATTTAAAATTAGTAGTTCCTGGATTTCAATCCACACAGCATTAATATTGGGTCATCCAAAACAGATTCTGTGTTTTTTTTAATTATAAATACAAATGAAGTAATACAAAACATAAGAAACATTAAGTCACACAAGCCCTTTTCATTCTATGACTTCTTGTCATCTTTCAGACTGCTGGAAAAATCCTTTTTTAAAAAATCATTAGGTTTATTTCTAAAGAAGGTAACTGACAAGCTGTTTAATAGATCCCAATAAAGTAAACTCCAGGCCAATCGAAGAATTTTCAAGTGACCGGAAAATATGAAAATCCAAGAGGACAAGATATAATGAATATAAGACATGATATAAAATATCTAAGTTTTTGTTAGATATTCAACGAAATGTGGGGCTGAGCATTAATGATGGAAGACAATACTTTCACAGTTGATCAGTTTTGGATGCTTTACATCAATTTCTGCTTTAAAAAATTCTATTCAAGAACTGTATTTTTTGAATTTATTGTCTTATTTCTAACATATAATTCTTTTGTACGCCTACAGTACACAAAGCACTGCTTTTTTTTGGTAGATGCAGTCCCTACCTCAATGTCGCTAAAGGAGGTTTTTTTGGCTTAGCCCTTGTTCTTGTAACGTTATTGTGTAATATTTACTTTGCATCTCTAGTAATGAGCCATTTAAAAAAATTTTAATTAGTTTATTTTTTTCCTCGATAAAGAATCGTGCCAAACCTCAAGCAAGTATATTCATGTAAACTATGGAGTAATCATGCATTGTAGAAACTTACATACCCATTCTTCTTCGAATGATCAGACACTATACACTTTTTGGAATATTTATTCAGTGTGATAATTAACTCTATGACTCAGATTTCCAGCGATAGTCTCTTTTAACTGATCCTCATTCAGAGTCTAAAGCAGGAATTATCTCGAAACATGAAATTTTCGCACTTGTAAGTTTTTAAACAATCTTCAAACTGTGTCATCTAAAACAGCATTTTTTCCATATATAGCACAATTTTAGGAGCAGCCTGACTAGCATTTTTTAAAATAAAGGAGCATAATAATGACAGAATTGAACTTTTGAATTCTTCAATCTAAATATTGGACTAACTTATTACTGGAACATAAATTATGCCAGAATATGCACTAGAATTACATTAAAACATCCACTTCGATCAACATCACTCTGTTGGTAGTAACAAAATAATTAGAAGAAAATATGCTTGAATTTAAAAAATTGCAGAATTTTTATGATCCAATAAATGTCTCCTAATGAGAAAAAATTTAACAGTTTTCATGCGAGTGAATTAAAGAAAAAGTTTAGAGTTGTTCCTGCATATAAAACATGGAATAATACACTTTTAAATTTATTTAACAAATTCTGTCATATGTAAAATGATTTAAGTTTTCCATAACAACGAAGTTTCTTCATCAGCTTAAATAAAAATCTGTGTACAGAAATTTATTAAATACTAATTTAATGTAAAAACCAGTTACATTTAATAATAATTATTATTTTATAAATCACTCAAAAATATCAAACAATGTAAAAATTATTTAAAATTTCCTTGTATCTTAAATGCTATGAGATTGCCTCAACATATTTTCCTCTCTCTATGCATGAAAGATAAAAAAGTGATCTCAAGATGTTAATGTTGGACTTTACAATAGAATTGCATTAAATTTGATCATACAAAATTTAATTCATTAAGAATTTTTCTCACATCCTGTTAAAATTAATTATGATCAGCTGCCACATTTGCATTGTTCAGTCCTTATCAGAATTTGCATATCAGATAACAACTTACCTCATGAATAAAATACACATGAATAAAAATATTACTTTTACACTTCACTGCATATTTTAACATATAAAAGTTACTCTTATGACAATGCAAAAACCAATGTTTTGATTTGCCTGAATATCTTAGTGTTGATTAAAACTAAAACGTATCAGAGTGATGCTAAAATTTTATTTACAGGGTACATTGTACAAGTACAGCAATATGCACCTTATAAGTCTTTAAAAACACGTAGTTAAAAACTTTTGTACTATAAAAAATAAAATTCTTTACATTGTATTATGTAAAAACATTCTGTTTACAAAAAGATACATTATCTCTTATCAGGGCATTTCCCTCCCTCTATTTCTGCCATCAAATCTTTCCATGGATCTTCTAACATCGAAGGGTTTATGTATTGTCTTATATCTGGAGTATGTCCTGGATTAGAATCACTGGAGTTTGGACTTTCAAAATGTTTTTTATTCTATTGACAGAAAAATAAAACAAGATATTAGCATATTTATATGTGCATATAATTCAATAATCATAGACTGCAAGAAAGAATGAAATTAAGATTTGTCTTACTTTTTTCCTTAGAACTTACAAAATATTTATTTTGTGAAACATGAATATTACCATTACTGTCATTATATTAAAATTTATGCTTATAATCAGTTCCCACTTCCTTTTTAGTACCTCCTCATTTACTGCCAGGAGACTATCAAATGAAATACTGTGTAATGTTTTTTTACTTATTTTACTAAGTAATGTTAGTGCTAAATTGAGCATATATATTCCTTTCTATTAGCTTTGCGTATGCAACCTTTGTTTTGAACTTGTGATGGAACCAAGTTTCATATTTGAACATATACAAAATTAGGCCATGTGCTTGGAATGAAAATATAGATTGAAGGCTAACCTTTACTCATGCTGTATATGCACTTTAAGTTATAATGGCCTAGCTTATTTCGCTTGTTTACATGATTTTTTTAAAAAGAATGGGTGAAGTGTCTTTTTGCATTCCTCAAGGCAGAGAATCTGCATACTCCCAGACCTGTCTAAAATGAGCATTGCATGTGGAACATCATGTGGTTTTTAGAGGCAGTGCTGAAGAATGGTTATCATTTTTTGATTTATTTAAAACGGCGATAATGGATAATGAACGTTTATCGGGTGCACAAAAGCTACATTAAATTGTGAGGCCCACCACGCAATTTTATATTTCCATTGAAATTTTTGTTTTTTGTTGCATGTACACAAAAAAATCTTAAATAAATGAAAATTTGAAATAATGATAAAAAATCTCATAAAAATGTAAAAGAAATTGCAGCAGTAAGTGATAATTTTGCCAAGATCTAATCTTAATTGTATACAGAAACTGGATGTCAGACTAACTCGAGACACTAGTCTACACACGCTTGGGTCTATCATAATTTTGTTATCACTGCACGAACAGTTATTATTTCAAACGAAAATCTGTCAAAGAACCTGTATGTTAAAAAAAAATCTTCGCTAAAGCAGGAGTGGTTTCATTAGACGGAGCAGGGGAAAATATACTCGAAGTTTATTTTGCTAGGCATCCATTCAGCCTCAATACCTTTTTGAGCAAGTGCAAAATAGCTGTCAAACTGGTGTCGAAGTAGATCCAGCTTTAATATCTTTCTGCCCATGCGTGAAATAGTTGTCGAGCCAGTGTCGAAGGTCGGGTTTTTTGTACATGGTGCTGATAGTTGAATAAAAGTCACATCTGAAGACAGAAAGTCTGAAATTTATTTAAGTATATGTTTACTATTGCAAGTAATTTTAAACATAGTAAGAAATTAATAAAATATTAAATTCATAAAAGTTATAAATTTTCAAGTGTCAAATGATCACTATTTGCATTAAATTGGTATTTTTACCAGGGCTTTGAACTGAATGAATGATTTCTAAGAAAAGTTGTTGATGTAAGCAGGAAATTTAATGATTGTTGGGGGAAAATTTATTCTTTCACAATGCAGAATTCAAAATTAATTAACTGGTAGAAAGATAGTCGCTTATTTAAAGAACATAGCACTAAAAGGCACCACAAGACAAAATATACAGTCAAAAGTCATTAATTCGGACACCCATAATCCGGACCTCAAAGCTAAAAACTTTCTGCGCATGCGCCGCGTTGACACATGCGCATAGGCATTTACGCGTGCGCGTAAGACCTCTTACGACTGCGCATTTGCGTGTGCGCAAGCGCAGAATACGTTTTCGTGTGCGCGTTTTATGTATAACAGACGGTATAAGCTAAAATTATCTAATTATCTATTTCAGTTAATGTTGATGATTGCGTTGTTCTTAATTTTCGAATTGGATCCGGCTTATATTTTTTTGCAGACTGTAAGAGCAATACTATAAAAGTAAACTTGAACTTTCGATTATTTCAAATAGAATTTCCGAATCTGGAGCTCCCAAAGGATCGTACAAAACGAAAGTATGTTTCGATGTCCATCAAACAAAAAGTGGAATTGCTGCAAAAAAAATGGATAAAGATATCAAGAATGTGACAGAGAGGTTAGTGACAACGAAAAAATTTCGATTGACAAGTTAGTCGGTATTCTTGGCACAGCAATTAACGGGACTTGAACAGCGAATCTTTGTAACTGAACAAAAAATTATGTCTATTTATAGAATTAAAGAGAAAGTATTATCACATAAAACGAAGCAACTTAAACAACTTATATTGAAAGAAATGTTTAATAAAGTAAACAAATAAATATTAAGCATTTTTGTAAATTTTTATACCCTTTAGATCATAATTGTTCTTTATTTCATAAATTACGGTTTCATATTTTTAATTTTAGAATTTCTGCATGCCATCTTACGCGATTTAAACTGATGATCTATAATCCGGAAAAATCGATAATCCGGAATCGCCGAAGTCCCGACGAGTCCGGATTAACGACTTTTGACTGTACTATGTAAGTTTCAGTAAGAAGTATAATGTTTTACCCGTCGCTGCTATTGCGCGGTTGAAATAAATGCATATAAAAACATAACTATGGCAGATATTTTATATTAGCTGATGATTTTGTGTAAGGAATATTATGAAGATTATTTATGTAAAAAAATATTTATCTTCAACAATAATTTTGTTTAAAATAATTACTTT